GCTCCCAGGAAGGTGGCCCCTTGATGCTGACACACCCAGCCAAGCGCTCCTCTCTCCAGGCCGCAGAGCCCAGTGAGGCCCCGACTCAGCCTCCCCCTACCTCGCACCAAGTGTGAGAGGCACCAACCAGCTCCAGGAGTTTCATTTTGAATCTGCAAAGAGAAAAACTCTTTTCTAATGTGGATGATGCTATTTACTAACTAGCCAGCTTGCTAGCGTCTGGATTAGGCCTTATTTAGCTTCTCTAAAGAAACAACACCTGTGCACCACGGGGGACTCTAAGGTAGCGGGCAGCTTGAGAGCTGATCTGCTGGGATTCAAATCCCACTTCCCTTGGGAAAGTTCCTCTCCTACCCTGAGCCCACTCCCTCCATCTACAAAAAGGGGATGGTAACAGTACCACCATCTTCAGTTGTTGCTATTACAAACAAAAAAACAAAAAAAAACAGCCATAATAAGAGCCCATAAGGGGCCAAGTACTCAATTTTTTTTCTTATATGTATTACTTAACACAACCCTGTAGGTTTTTGTTTTTGAAGTGTAACTTATAAAAGTGCATAAACCTTCAGCATGCAGCTCAAATCACTTTTATGTACACATACCCTATCTTCTAATCAAATCTCTATCGATGTAGATTAGTCTTGCCTGCCTATGAACTTCATATAAATGGACTCACAGTATATGCTCTTGTGCTTCTTTCACTCAACTTTATCTTTTTGCAATTCATCCATGTTGTTGTGTAAATAAGCATTTATTCTTGCATACAGTGGACAGTATTCCATTGCGTGGCTACGCCACAGTTTGTTTATCCATCGAACTAGGTGTCGTCGTCGTCATCATCATCATCATCCCATTTTGCAAATGAGGAAACTGGGGCTCCGAGCTGCTTACTACATTTTTTGCCTGAGGTCTCAGAGTGAGGTTGACTCTGAGCAGGAACTTGAACCCAGGTCCCTGACTCCAAAATCCGCTCCTTACCTGGACTACAGAGCCCCCACCCCCCTGGAATACTGGGGTGGGCAGACATGAACTCTGTCCTGTGTGTCATGAGCCCCTTCTCCCTGCAGTGCAACTAGGAGTCAGGGGGCAGCTGCCTACCTGAGTGGCTGCAGGTCGTGAGAAAACTGCCTCCGGGTTGGCCATGGCCGCTATTTGTTTTCACTGCACCCCAAGCTGACAGTGCAAGTAAGGCCGTCACTCACAGCCCTGTACCTTGAGACCTGGCCTTTGCCAACATGTCAACACAACTGCAAACAGCCTAAACGCAGTGGCGGCTTCCTCGTCCCCTGACCAGCAGCTGAGTCTCGTGGGCAGGAGGGAACCTGGCCTCGCATGTGGGCAGCCCCTGCCCTGCCTGGCTCCTCAGAGATAGATTTCCCACCATGATGGCTCAGAGGTAACCCTTTGGGGCTCCTCCAGAAATCACTGCAGGCCTTAGAGCTAGATGTTTTCTCTGTAACCCAAGCTTTACCCACCAAGAGGTGGTCACCACTGGGACCCTGGGGCTGACTGAACCTCAAGAAAAGGCTGAGGTTTCACCTGCTTCCCAACTCTCTGAATTTCTACTTGCTGCCCAGCAGAGCAGAGGCCAGGCTGAGAAGGGCTGTCTGGAAGGCCACGGGCGGCTGGGGAGGATCCTGGCTGGTCTCCCCAGCCCCCTCCCCCTCTGAACACAGGTAGAGTTCCAGTCAGTGCAGCCAGACATGATTAAATGGTTGGCTACGTGCAGGGCAGGGGAGACCCCGGGGGAAGAAGGGCACAGAGCCAACTCCCAAGGCGCCCAGGGCACCCTTTCCTGTCAATCATTAACAGAAGCCAGCCTGCCACAGGCAGAGAAGGGGAAAGTCCAAGGAGGTGGCCTGCCCCTCCTCCCGGGCCCCGTCCTCCTAACACGCCAATCCAGGGCCTCGTGGGACATGAGATCATGACACTCGGTGGAGCGGGGGTGTGCGGAGTCATCTAATCCAACTGGCTGCTCTCATGCCCCTGCAAAATCTCCTCCAAAGGCCAAGGGAGACAGGAACTAACATGGGTCGATTTGCAGTTACACAAATGCATTCAGTGTGCCAGCCTGTGACATGGTGGTCCAATGCAACGATGGAGCTAGGCTGCCTGGGTTCAGATCCTGACACTTCTAGCTGTGCGGCTAATTCATGCACCCTGCACCCCGATTTCTCCATCTGTAAAATGGGGATGGTACAGAACTTCCTCCAGGGGGTCACTGAGCTCTTTACAAATGAACACACATGCAGTTCCAGACTACCTGGCACTCATGGAGAGTGGTCATGGCTAACGGTCCACTGGATCCTCACGCTCACCCCCTGAGATCACATGGAAAATCCAAGGTTGAGTCATTGGCCCAAGGCACAAACTGATATAAGGGGGGCTGGATTTGAACGCAGGTTGAAGGATTTCAACACCCGTCTTCCATGCCATGGAAACTTCCTCCTGCCCTGCCCCTGCCCGCCCCTTTGGTAGCCAGTGCTTCGTGATCCAATTGGCTGCAAAGCCCAGCTTGTGTCTGCCCCACATTTGCTCAAAGGCCCTCTTTTCACCAGAGGGCCACTGAGGAGCAGCAGGCTCCCTGCCTTCCTCTTTAAGATGAGGCTCCCAGGCCTAAAAAGGTAAGTCATGGCTCAGTGGCCAAAACAGATCTCATTTATTTGAGCTGCTCCAAGGGAAGACCTTTAGCCAAGGACTGGACCGTGGGTGCAGGGCCAAAGCCACAGAGGCCCTGCCCAGCCAGGACAGACCTTGTGCAGGCCCCCAAACCAGAGTTGCCCCGAGGTCGAGGGCAGCAGATGGGGAAGCAGGCCTCATGGCCCAGGAAGTTGGCTGACAAAGGCTGGCCTGGCCTTTCCTGCCCCACTTCCCTCTGTGGAGACCTTGCCTCCAGCTCTCTGCATGGCTCCTATGCCCCCCAGATGGTAGATAAGGTCAACGATAGAGGGCCCCTGCCAGCTGGGCTCAAACCTCCCTGGACTCCCTGCCAGCCACTGAGGCCCTTTCATCTCCTGCAATCCTGGAAAAAGAATGGGCCCCAAAGAATTCTGCCGCTTCCTTTCCCAAGTCGCTTTGACCTGTCTCCTCTACATTTAAGAACTAGATGGTAGACAGATCGGGCTCTTGGGCAACCAAGCTCACTTGGGACAGAGAGCTTCCTCGGGCCATAGGGAGACCCCCTTGTCTTCCCAGACCACCGCACGCTCCAGGGCTTCCTTTGTGATCACTCGAGGACTGACTCAATGGAGAACATTCTGGGCAGGCAGTGGGTATGTTTAGTCCCCTCTGAACCCAACCAGGAGCCAGAAAATTCTGTCTCCTACTTGCCATCTATGCCTGCAGGG